TCGCCATTTCGGGCTTCGAGGCTCCCAGAGTTTCGAGTTTGGGGATTTAGGGTTTAAGGGTTCAGGGTTTAGGGTTTAGGGTTTAGGGTTTAGGGTTTAAGGGTTCAGGGTTTAGGGTTTAGGTTTTAAGGGTTCAGGGTTTAGGGTTTAGGGTTTAGGGGTTCAAGGTTTAGGGGTTTAGGGTTTACGGCCAGGAAAAGAAGGGGACGCGGAAGGGTTAGGCCCTAAACCCTGAACACTAAACCCCGTAACCCCTAAACCCTAAACCCTAAACACCTAAACCCCTAAACCCCAAACCCCAAAGCCCCAAACCCGAAACCCAAACCCCGAAACACGAAACCCTACAGCCTTCAGGGTTTCAGCCCTAGGGTGTACGTAGGGACATCAACTAGGGCCTTGGGCGTTGTGGTTGCGGTCTTTGGGTTTGGGTTTATCGCTCCTGGCCTAGGCGTTGTTGGTTTAGGGCTTATAGGTTTAGGGTCAAGGGTTTAGGGTTTAGGGTTTAGGGTCTATGGGTAGTTCTCTGAATCAGGGGATCCCGTTTCGTACGGCAAACTCATAAAAGGACCCGAAGAGGGACCTACTTTAGATAACTTCCCCTATCATATAGTATAGGGCGCATAGGGTTTCTGGGGCGAAGGAAAGCTGGCAACTACAGCTTGTGGGTGAGCTTAAGAGTTTATGGGCTTTCGGATGTTCTCGCTGTTTAGGTTTTAGGGGTCTGGAATTGAGGATGCTCTCATGGTTCGAGGATCGGAATTTGCTAGCTTAGAGGTCAATGGCTGCCACTCCCGTTAAGGAGCTCGTTCGGGATGTACTGCTAGTTCTCTAAAGGTCCTATAGTGCTATCTCACCCCAAACCCCTTCGGAAATTGATGCCAGGAATCGGACTTTGAGACTTGAAGAGTGAAAGGAGATCCACCCCTAAGCCCTAAATCACCCTAAATCCCGGAAAGCCTACATCCTAACATCCCTAAAGCCCTATATCCTACAACATCCCAAAACCCTACCCGTCCGTACCGCATATGGAAGCCAACCCTTCTCCAAGATTCGATATTCCCAACTTTGAAGCCTCAAATACCGTGTGCCCTAAACCCTTCCACCCTGGAGCCTTGAAGCAAAAAGCCTTAAAACCCTTAAAGCCTCTAGGGTTTAGTGCTGGTTTGGGGTTTAGGGTTTATTTAAGGCTTAGGGGTTCAGGGTTTAGGGTTTAGAGTTTCGGGTTTAGGGGTGTAGGGTTTAGGGCTTTGGGGTTTAGGGTTCAGGCGTTTAGGCATTTAGGCTTTAAGCCACAAGCCTCAAAGAACGGAATCCTTAACCTCCAACAGCCACTCCGAGGTACGCATGGTGATCAAGCGCTTGCGAGGGCCCATGACGGTGCCCTTCAGCATGATCCAATCCTCGCGCACCTTGCGTCGGGAAGAAAGCATCCGGAGTCTTAAACGCCGGATCCCAAAATTTGTTTGCTACAGGAGCCTTAGTATCAGTTAGAAGTAGAACAGTAGTAGAAATATATTCGGGAAACCCCTATGGAACAGTGCTACAGGGAGCCTTATTATCAATTAGCACTGCAAATTATAGTAGAACAGTAGTAGATCTATTTTCTGGAAGCCCCCATGGAATAGTGCTACACATGAGCCAGGCTCCCATCTTGCTGCTTTAAAAGGTGTCAGAAATACCTGATACTCCTGCGGAGAGTCTGAACCCTAAACCATAAACCCTGAACAGTTAGTCAGGCAGTGGTGATCTGGAGCTGACTCTACGGGTCCAACAAATACGTACTTGGGTTTGGGATAGTAACTTTTGCATACCCTAGACTTCTAAACCCTAAAAGCCTCTAGAAACCCCAAAACTCTAAACCCCTACGCCCTAAACCCTAGGCCCTAAAGACCCCAAGACCTCGACCTCGCTCCCCGGAACCTTGAAGCCTTGTGCATTTCGTCGGCCCCCCAAGTCCTCACAATCCTGAAGCCTATACTTGGTCCTCAAAGTGGGTTGGTTTAGGGTTCAGGTTTAGGCTTTAGGGGTTTTTGGCTTAGGGTTTAGGGTTTAGGGGATTAGGGTTTAGGGGTCTGGTGGTTTAGGGTCTATAGTCTATAGGGATTAGGGTTTCTATACGGTGCAAGGCCAATGCATATACTAGATCGGTACCTGGACCATGAGGGAAATCCTAGACGCAAGCTGTTTAACCTTTCCAGCCAAAGGTAAGGTCGTGTACAGCGCTAACAGGATTTTGACTACTACACCATCCGATAACAACATAGCAGAAAAAGATACAGCCCGAAACCGAGATTCTAACATCTCAATCGCCAAATCCTCAACTGAGATTCCCCTGTAGCTTAAGGCACAAGACACAAGGGCAGGTTTCTAAACTAGGATCCCTTTTAAGATCCTTTTCATAAGGGTGCCGTACTACTAACTATTAAGGGGCCCTAGTTTGGAGAACAACCCATATTGCTCACTTAACCGGGCTCTCTGGCTAAGTGCAAGCCGACTCCCCTCAATTCTGCACTTCCGCACCTCGCCGTAGTGGCTGAAGCCGCCCATGGGGGTGATAGCCTGCAAACAAGTAGGGTGTGAGGATTTCCATGGTCTCCATGGTAGTTCCGCTATTGAGTTGCCCGAACCAAAGGATCCGGAATATGAAGCTGGATAAGCCAGAAGGAACTGCAATGCAGACTAAACCCTAAACCCTAAACCCCTAAACCCCTAAACCCTGCAAACCCTAAACCCTAAACCCTAAACCCTAAACCCTATAGATTAGGTAGGCTATCGACAGCTGCCCGGCGTCGGAGTAGCAAAAACCCTCAAAGCACTGAGCAAACGCAACCCTCCGGCCCAACAGAGGCCTGAATCGAGCGGCTGGGTCTTTTAATTGGTGGGTTCTACTGTACTAAACCCCTGAACCCTAAACCCGCCCTAAACCCTAAACGCTAAACCATAATGTTTAAAGGACCCACGAAATAAGGTCACGGAAACCTCACGCCCCTGTACTTTATGTCTCCCTGCAATCCCTGGGCCCCGTCCCCCGGCCCACCTCTAGACTTACCCATGCATAAACATGCACATATGCACGGACCCAGGATAGACCAAGGAGTAGTAACCGCAGGAAGGCTTCCAGAAGAGGACAAAACAAAGGAGGACAAAACCTCAGAAACACTGAGCTCGATTTTCAGGACAGACTCGAGCTGAAAAAACGCACTTGATTTCGGTGTTCTTTGTCAATACGACACCCATATTTTAAGAAACCCTCCTAAGCCGTTGCCCGCAAATCTTACATGCCTTCTCGGTCAGGTCATTCTCAGTGCACGCGTTGTTGGCGTCATCCTCGAAAGCAGCGGGTTTGGAGTGCGAGCTTAATTCGAGCTTATTCAGGAGAGCTACCTACATCGTAGTAGGAATCCTCTAAAGATTTAAGGTCCGTACTATATATATATATATATAGTCACGGGATCTTGAAAGATCTGGGTACTACACAATCATACCTACGGCCTTTCAACTGCTTACTTACGGGTTTGACACAGAAAGTCCTTGATTAAGGGATCTTGGGAGAGCTACATGGGTACATGGCCCCAAACCCTTATGGTACACTTATGGAACCCGAAACCTTGAAGGAACCTGGGAGTTTCAGAAAATTAGGGGTACCTTATTTTGGAGTCCTTATAATAAGGATCCTATTATTTAGGGTACTATATTAGGGTCCCCTATTTTCGGAAACCCCCACCTCTAAAGGAAGCCTGTAAGGAAATCTACGGACCCTTACGGCAAGGGATCCTGGCAGAGCTGGGTTAAGATCGGGTCCAAGTCTTACCCAAAGGGTCCCATGTAATGTACGGGCCTTCATAATTAGAATAAGGTTCGGGGCTCCTTTATAGCATAGTTGTAATAAGGAGCCCTACGGACAAATACAAAATATCGGTACTTATTTAGGCTTCTATATTGCTGTTATGGGGGACCTATCACCTATGGCTTCCTTCGAGGGTCGAGGGCTTTGGGTTCCTTTAAGGGTTCCTTCAAGGGTTCAGGGTTCCGAGTTCCAAAATGGGGGAGGGATACCTTCCCTAATCATCATAGTAATTCCTTATATAGAAATCCTACATTCTGCTATATAGGTGCATATAGGGCCCTTTGGCTTAGGATCTTTTCAGAAAACCATCGTATAACCTCCCAGAGAACACTAAGGAGGAACCTTCAGCTTTGACGGATAGCATCATCTTTCCGGCAGCTCCTTGAGTTAGGGGCCGATCTTGGGGTTCTTACGATACAAAGTGATATGATCTATTAGACGCCCGAAGGGCCTTGGGGCTCAGGGCTTACACCCGCCCCAAATAACCCAATTTTCGAAGGACCTAAGGAAATCATAAGAAGGAACCCTAAACCAGTAGGTTTCTTAAGATTTTACGTTAAGGGTTTATTTTCACGGAACCTTATCATCCTGTGCACCCTAGATTCATGTTCACTGGAGCTGAACATCCGCAAGAAAACCTATCCAAAAAGCGTCAAAAGCCCTACCTAGAGAACCCAAGCTACCTTAAAAAACGGTGAACGTACCAATTTGCTTTAAGGTCATATCATATATCCCATCCTAAACCCTAAACCCCTATTTAAGGTACACGGGTTGCTCCAGGTAGTGTAGAGGCCTTCATAATTAGAATAGGGTTTTGGGGTATATCTCTGAACCCAACCCTACATCCTATGCCCTAAAACTCTAAGCCATAAATCCTAAACTCTCTAAATCCTACAAATCCTAAACCCTCAATCCTAAACCCTAAATCCTGAACCCTAAACCCTCAATGCCAAACCCTAACCTGAACCTAAACCCTCCATCCTAAACCCTTGATCCCAAACCCCTCAATTCAAAACCCTAAATCCTAAATCCTAAACCCCCTAAACCCAAAACCCTAAACCCAAAGCCCTAAACCCTAAACCCTAAATCCCAAACCCCTCAATTCAAAAATCTCAGAGGACCGATAGCCTCAACCCTGAATCCTAAACCCTAAACTTAAATCCTAAACCCTCAATCCTAAACCCAAACGACCGAGAGTTGCTCCGGAGCGGAGCCCGGCCTTCAAAGACTTTCCGACGCGGTAGATCTTCCTGGGATCCCCGGTCCCAACCCAGATCTTCGGCTTTGGGGTTTAGGGCTTATAGGGGTTTAGGGTTTAGGGTTTAAGGGTTTAAGGGTTTAGGGGGTTAGGGGTTCAGGGGTTTAGGGGTTTAGGGGTTTAGGGTTTAGGGGTTTTTGGGGTTTTGGGTTCAGGGCTTTGGGTTGAGGGGTTAGGGTGTCAGGTGTTTAGGGTTTAGGGTTTAAGAGTTTAAGGGTTTAGGGGTTTAGGGGCTTAGGGTTTAGGGGTTTTAGGGTTTAAGGGTTTAGGAATTTAGGGGTTTAGGGTTTAGGGTTTAAGGGCTTAGGGGTTTAGGGGTTTAGGGGTTTAGGGGTTTAGGGGTTTGGGGTGTTAGGACCTTCAATATCCCTGAAAGGGTTCTGCAGACGTTTTTGTAAGGGTTTGGCAAAGTTTAATATCCACTTGTTAAGGAACATACCTTAAGTAATGCTAGGATCCCTACAGTGCCTTCTAGGATTCCAGGCTACATATTAAACAATTCAGCTGGATAGATTGGAAGGGTTGGGAACGAAACGGTCGCGGGCTCGTAAGCTCTCAGATTGCAAGGCTCGGCTGAGGAGGTGTCCATAGGTCTACCTCTTACTATGCGGGCTTAGAGCAGGGTTTAAAGCTTTTTTCAAGGCTCTGCTCCACCTACTTACAGCTGATAATTCCGGCGGGAACGGCCGAACGTCTCAACGCGAATGCCGCGTGGCAACTGCTTGAGGATCGAGTCCTCCTCATTTTTTTTGCGCATGTGGACGAAGTCCTGCAGCAGCTGGTGCACGAGGGCGCCGAGATGGAGAAGGCCTTGTTTCGTCTGCGAGAAGGTTCATGGAAGCAATAGGGCTGAAGCAACTCGACCTGTTTCGCCTCACTACCTGTGAACTTGTCGGCCGCGGAAACGCTGGCTTGAAGGCAAGCCTTCAAGCTGGATCTGCAACAAAGTGCCTTGTAGCCATCAGCGCCTGAACCTGGCACCTCTAAACCCTGCAAAAACTAGTAGTTCGTAGAGCTGGCAGCGGCAGGCAGCTTCAGGGCACCCTGACCTGTAGTGCCGTCCTGGGTGAATGCCAAGGTGAATTCACCGAATAACAAAAACTTTACCACGCCGTCGCCTTCTTAGACATTGCAGTAGCAGAGTCCTGAAGCTTTGACGCCTGTTGAGGGTTTAGGAGTTTATATTAGGGCTATAATACAATGCAATGTGCTTAGCAGGGAATGGGGTAATGGGTTATAGGGACTACTATAAGGGACCTTAAGGGACTATCATAGGGATCCATTCCCCCATTCCCTACTAAGCACCAAACAGTTAAAGGCCGAATCAACACCAACAGGTTGGCCTGTTTGAGTCGAACGACGAACTTGGGGACATTGGTGAGTCAAAAGCCTGCCTCACCAAGACGGCTTTCTAGGACCCCCCAACTACCCTCAGCTATACCCCAAATAGCTACTATTATCAGGACCAGAAACCCTATAAACCCTAAACCTAAACCCAAAACCCTAAACCCTCAACAGAAGGGCGGCACTGGGCCCTGGTTTGTTTGTGGTAAGCAGCTTTCAGATGGCACTCCTTCTTCTGGGGCGCCAATCGCCTCTACAGCAGCTCCACTTCAACCCACCTGTCCCCGATAGAAGCACCGACATCTCTAGTAATGATCCTGTGTGGCGCGTAGGAACCTAGGACTAGGATCCCTTGGCATGTGCAGAAACGCATACCCAACGCAGAGGATTGCAACGCTAAGTGCCAGAGCAGGCCCTAGACTCCCCAAACGCTAACTCCCGAACGCTAATCTCTGAATCCATAAAGCCCTATACACCCCGAAAGGGGCTCAAAGGCACTGAACGCTGTAAAGGGGGCGTGAACTCCAAACGTCTTCATCCCGGAACCCTAAACCCTAAACTTTAAACCCTAACCCCATAAGTTTGCTCCCGGCCGCTTGTTGATCTCAGTTCGATGGTGGTAACCTCGCTGACCGGAACGAGGCACCTGCGCAGCAGAAGCTTACAGGTTCACGGTTCAGGTTTAGGGTTTAGGGTTTAGGGTTTAGGGTTTAGGGTTTAGGGTTTAGGGTTTAGGGTTTTGGGTTTAGGGTTTGGGGCTCAGGTTCACGGTTCAGGTTTGGGGTTTACGGTCCAGGGTTTGGGGTTCAGGGTGTACGGTCTAGGGTTCACGGTTTCGGGTTCAGGGTTGAGGGAGTTTAGGGTGTACTTGAAACCTTAGTACCCTATAGTCCTCACGTTCCTATAAAGGAAATGCAGGTTTTGAGGTCCCTGAAAGGACAGACATTTAGGTTTTTGTGGTTCCTTCTACAAAACAAACATAAGATTTTTCAAGGGGTCCTATGTACTGTTATGAGGGATACCTCCCTGAATCATAATAGCAATTCCTAAAATAGAAACCCTACATTCTACTATATATAGGGACTTACCTACAGGGGCCCTAAAACCCTAAACCCACAGAGCAACCTATATACCCTAAGGGTCCATGTGCCCAAATAGTATATACCTTGGCCTTATAATATAAAGTAAACTATCTGGGCACGTGGACCCTTACCTGGACCCTTAATAACCTACCTTTCCAAGGACTTTATATGAAGAAATCATAATAAGGAACCCCAAAACGACAAAACGGTTTTACCTGCAAACAACCTACCATTTTGGGGCTCCTTGATGTGCTTTGTTTCTGTAAGTCCTCCACAAGAGAGTTTATTTAGGATCAAGGGTTCTGGATTTAGGGTCTAGACTTGAGGTTTTGGGGTTTAGGGTTTCAGGGTACCGAAAATTCTGTAAGTCCACCAAAAGGTAGGTTATGGAGGGTGAAAGCAGGGTGTAGGGATCCTTCCCCAATATCAAAGATGGCTAGCCTGAACCCTAAACCCTAAACAGGTCACAAACCGACTGAAGATTCCTCCACCTCCCCGAACTCGGTAGCACTACCACCTTCAGAAGATAACCCAAGCCGACAAGGACACCATGGGCCAAATCAGGAAAAACCCTAAACCCTAGTCCCTAAGCCCGAAGGAGAAGCTACCGGTATTTGGAGCTTAGATTCGTAGCATCCACCAGATACATCCAGCGGGCAGGGTAGGGATGCTAAAGAACTACCCTCTATTATACCCTAAATACCCACTATTAAGGACCATATGGGCTCCATTAAAGGGTACTTGGGGGGTGCTGGTATAAACCCTAAACCCTAAACCCCAAACCCCTAAACCCTAAAACCCTAAAACCCAAAACCCTAAAACCCTGAAGCCCCAAAACCTAAAACCCTAAAACTGGTACACACTGAGCCCACATGACCTGGAATGCCACACGCGCAGGATGCCAGGAGCCGATGCAAGCCACCTCCCATGCAGACAGCCGGTTTAGGGTTTAGGGTTTAGGGGTTTAGGGGTTTAGGGTTTAGGGGTTTAGGGTTTAGGGTTTAGGGTTTAGGGTTTTGAGGTTTAGGTCAGAATTCTATGTCAGGGTTTGTGAAATGTAGGCTTTGGCAGTGGGCTTTGTTTAGAGTGTAGAGATACGCGGAGGGTCATACCTTCCCACATTTTCAGGCTACTTACAAATGGTTCTGTGATTGGGATCTGATATAGTACCCTGAAAAGGCGGGCAGTGTACATCACTGACTACTGGGAGTCGGGGGATGTTTAAGACGTTAGGGCTTTAGGGTTTAGGGTTTTTAATAAGAGGTTTAGTTTGGCGCTCAGGCGGTTCATAGGGGGTCTAGGGAGTGGTTTAGGCTTTAGGGGCTTAGGGCTTTAAGGTTTCAGGGATTTGTGGGTTTAGGTTGTCTGATATGTGGGAGTCACGCACGACGTGCACCACGTGCACCTTGCCGTCGTTTCTGTTGACTTTAAGACGTTCTGGAGGTTTCAGAGAACTTGCTGATGCCGCCCTGCTGCAGCTCCTTTAGGACGTCCAAGCAGACAGCACGGAAAGTCTTTTTCCGGTAAAGAAGCAATGGCACCGCTGGCTCCCGAAATTATCCCGAACCCTTTGCCGAGAACCCTAAACCCCTAAACCCCAAACCGTAAACCCCTAAACCCTAAACCCTAAACCCTAAACCCTTAAACCCCAAACCTTGAGAACTGAAGCCCGCATATACCGGCCCCGAGAGCTCCCAGAGCTTTGGGGCTCAGAGTTCGCTTCAGATGGGAC